TAACTTTTTTTGCTGACACATGAAGACACACACACACACACACACACACACAAGTGCAAAGTGAGGTGGGTCCTTGTGGGTGGGGGAGGGGCAACAGAGTAAGTGGAAACAAGTACAGATTGTTCACATTTTGTCTATAATCTAAGTGCATGTTTTTTCAGCATGCTATCTTTGGCCTGCTGGTTTGTGTCAGTGTGTTTCAAAAGATTCCTTGAGCATTTTTTGCCATCAGCACAGTGGATTTGTGTGTAGGATACAGTGCTCTTGTGTAAATAGACTGCAGTGGACTGTGGGTAAACTGTTGGTAAATGGGAGTGTTGATTCAGTGGAGCTCTTTGGCCGCAGTCGCTGCCCCTGGAACAGGTCTGCAATGTTCATGTCCAGGAGCGAGCAGTTATTTCATTCTGATTTCTGCTGTTTACTTGGATTTGCATATGGGGAAATCCTGTGGTCGGTGGAGAGCAGAGTCACATTGAGAAACAAGAACTGAATGTGAATGATGGTGGAAAATTACATGCACATTAAGTCAAATTTGTATAATCACACACTTTATGCACCATCCAACCTTGCAGAAATGAATAAACACAAGTTTAGGATGTCAGGATCAGTGTTGGGCAGTAACGCATTACTTAGTAACGTGTTACTGTAATTTGATTACTTTTTTAGTAACGGAGTAATTTAACGCGTTATAATTTTCAAAATAGTAATTAGAGTATAGTTACAAGTCGAGGTCTCTATACGTTACTGCCGCGTTACATTGCTGACAGAATGCAGTGTTTTATAATCTAGAGATTGTTAAAAGGATGTAGCTCACGCACTGTCCAGTCCAGTGCCAGTGGATTAGAGACCTGCTCCCGCAAGCCCCGACGCAACAGAGTGCGGCGCGGGACAAGATGGGCGAGTGCTGGTGCGGGCGGGCGGGTAGACACTCGTGTGTGTGCAGGATGCGGGAGAATTAAATGATTCACGGGACTCCCGCAAAATAGAATATCTAAACATAAAATATCTAAAACAAATAAATTGTTATTTATCTATTGCACAAAAGCAACATGAACTAATATAAAATATAAACGATTAACAGGTGCAAGCGTATGCAGCGTGTCA